GCTGCTCCCCGCCGGGCAAGCGGCGCGACCGGAGGCGCCGCTCGCGCCCCTGCTCCCCGCCGAGCGCCTCAGCCCGCCGCGCGGGGCGGGGCGGGGCGGGAGCCGGTGCCCGCCCGGAGCATGCGCAATGCCGTGCGCCGCCGGTGCACGCCGGGAGTGGCGGCGGCGGGCGAGCTGGGCCGCCGAGGGGCGGCGGTGATTGGCCAGCCGCCTTCCTCCTCCCACCCCCATTGGCCGCCCGCCCTCCAGAGGCAGGCGGCCGGCGGGGCGGGACTTCCGGGGGCGGTGCGGTGCCGGCTTAAAAGCGCCCGGATCTGGGACCGGCTCCGAACTTTCCAGAAAAGTCGGGGTCGGCGCTGGGCGAGGAGCCTCCGCGGGGTGCGGGACCGCCCGCGGCTCAGGGGCTGTCCTCCGCCATGGTGAAGGAGACTACCTACTACGATGTGCTGGGCGTGAAGCCCAACGCCTCCGCCGAGGAGCTGAAGAAGGCTTACCGAAAACTAGCGCTCAAGTACCACCCTGACAAGAACCCCAATGAGGGCGAGAAGGTCGGCGGCGGGACGGGACGGGACGGGGCTGCGGGGCCGGCTGCCCCGGAGGGTACTGGCACGGAGGGCGAGGGGACGGACGGGCTGGGAAGGGCTTGGCGGGAGCGGGAGGGTGGCTGGGGGCGGGGGGGGGCCGGCCGGGGGTTCAAGGCTCGGGTGTCTGAGGCACGATGTACGTCTCCCGCAGTTTAAGCAGATTTCCCAAGCTTACGAAGTACTGTCAGACCCGAAGAAGAGGGACCTGTATGACAAAGGAGGCGAGCAGGCCATCAAAGAGGGTGGCTCCGGTGGTGGCTTCGGGTCACCCATGGACATCTTCGATATGTTCTTTGGCGGCGGTGGGAGGATGCAGAGAGAGAGACGAGGTAACGTGCCGTCTTCCGACACTTTCCCAGACTTTACAGCGTGATCGGCGGGGTAGACAGGGTCACCGTCTCTGAGGAGAACGCCGTAGGTGTAAGACTTTAAATAGCGTTGAAGTGAAGTTACAGGCTTGATCTCAAAAACGGAAAAAACACTGTGCCGAGCCCGTAACACCTGAAACAAGTAGGGGAGGGCATTCGGTTCATACAGTGGTAGTTTGATCTCTTATGCATTGTCTCATGTTAATAGCTAACCAGATTTCGGGTTTGGAAAGCCTTTAGCTGAGCGTAAGACCAGCTGCCCTCAGGCCGAATAGGAAACGGAACGGTAACATATCTTAAAATTATTTTTTTCACTAAGCTACTGTAAGTTTAGTGTCTCAATGTGAATTTGGTCTTTAATTGCAAGTAACTATATCTAAATAAGGTAGCCAAATCAAATTCAGTCTGTGAAACCTTTTTGTTTGCTGTGCTGTTCAGTGGAATTGAGTTGAAGCTGCAGTAAAATGCTGCTCAGAGATTACAGTCCAGATTAATCACACTGGGAAAGACTCTAGTGTTAATTAAACTGGTTAAGAGTAGTCCTGACGCTGTCACTTCTTAGGGTAGATCTAGTGACAAAGGGAAGAAAAAAGGGTTTGTATCAAAATGTTCATAGTAAGCCAGAACTTGTTATCCTTCACAAAAGTAAGCCTGCAGTAGCTAAAGTTCTAATTAATTCCTGAGTGAAAAAAATTTAATGACTCAATTCAGTTTCCAGAAAGTCCCCTGGTGAGAGGAAGAAAGTACTTGGCTGATTCTAGACAGTTTCTCCTGCTTCCTTGTAGGAGACATGTTCAGTCACTTTGTTAAAACTGAAGTCTTGCATTATAAAACTTAAATGTCTAAGGTTCTACATATTTTGTTTCTGTTATTGTTTGTGCTCTCACAGAAGAGTCTCTGACTTACTCTTAACGGAGGAACGTTACTGACAAAGCCATTAGCATTGTTACCTAATTTGACATCAGATAGGAAGGGGCTATTGACTAATACCAGCACAACAAGATAAAGCTATACTAAAACAGGATGTTAAAGCTCATAGACTTGGTTTGTCATGACTTGAGCATAGTGACACGGGAAGCTTACTGTTACTTGGAGACCAGGCTTTCAAACTTGAGTAAATATCCATTTTCTTTTATAGGCAAAAATGTGGTCCATCAGTTGTCAGTAAGTTTAGAAGATATGTACAATGGTGCAACGAGGAAACTTGCACTGCAGAAGAATGTTATCTGTGACAAATGTGAAGGTAACTGGGAAACTGAAACTAAACACAAGTTACTTCTAAAGGTTTTGGGGTTTTTTTTCTAGTAGCACATAACTATCCATCTTCGATTTTCATTCTCCTCAGGTCGTGGTGGTAAGAAGGGTGCAGTAGAATGCTGTCCTAATTGCAGAGGAACAGGCATGCAGATCAGAATTCACCAGATTGGGCCAGGAATGGTGCAACAAATCCAGTCTGTGTGTATGGAGTGTCAGGGGCACGGGGAGCGTATTAGCCCCAAGGACCGGTGTAAGAGCTGCACTGGCAGAAAAATTGTTAGAGAGAAGAAGATACTAGAAGTTCACATTGACAAAGGTGAGGTGTCTTACTAAGATGAAGTATTGAACTTGGATGTACTGACTGACTTCGCAGCACTAAATCAGATTTAGCAAATGCATGGTGTTGATTTGGTGAGTAACACTGCTGAATACATGTACAGTAAAATTGCCTGTTGCTGCCTGTAAAAACTAGGAGACTTGTTTTTAGGGAAGGTTTATTACTTCTATGTTCACATCTAATACCCGTGCACATAACTAAATGAATTCTGAAAACTGCACTATTGTAAGTGGTGAATTACTTTTGAGCAGTCTCATAAGCACAAATCTTGATCAGGTAGCTGGACCAATTAAAATAAAACTAATCAGTTGTTGACTCAGCTTGCCTAATGAGTTTTCCCTGCCTATAGGAAACCCTGCAGACTCCGATCACTTCTACTGTGTTTCAGTGTGAAGGGGAACCAGGTCTGCTATAGTAATAGGGTGCAGAGACAGTGCTAAGCTTTTCATGCTTAGAACCCTGTTTGCTATACAACCCTGACAGTGCTGCTCACTGCAGGTACTCTTTGCCTGGCAAAATGCAACTCGATACGCAAACCCTCGCAGTGATGGGAGAATGCAACAGTGTTGAGTGACAAATGCATCTCTGTTGAGGAGGCTGCTCAAAAGGTGGTGGGAGAAGTCTCTGAAGTAGTGCACCTTGTAAGATAGTACAAGATGACAAGCACATGGCTTCTGCAGACTTGCGCCTCACTATTACTTGCAACTGTTGTATGTGTAAGCACACCTTATGCAGTGCCTCAATTTGTTTGTAACAGGGAATATCCTACAGTAACATTAAATATGAGGGCTAGTACGGATATATTACTGACATTTTAAACAAGGAAGTCGCTGAGAAGAGTTTCTTTTCCCTTCTGTATAGAAAAACAGACTGTGAGCTAGCACGAGGCAGCTAGAATTTATGGCAGAGAGACTTGTGTGGGGGTGAATGGGTTTCTTACGTGATGGTTACAGTCCTAGGGGGAGTGCTTCTTGCACTCAGCAGGCTCTGAGATCATGTTTCTTAAGTAGCTCTGCCACATATATTTCTAAATCTGAAGAAGCAGATTGGTCACTTGCTCTCAAAATGTATTTTGTATGCAGTGTTTCTGTTTCCTTTTTAGTACTTGTGTGTATAACGAAAGCTGTTTTAATAATGTTTCCCTTAACGACTTTTTCTTGGCAGGTGGCTATTTTGCATTACAATTAAGCTTAATGATCTTGAGACATAGTTCAGGTTGGCACCACTAAAATCTGTTGGACATGTGAGTGGATTAAAAAAAATTATGAGTACTTCAAGGGAGGGTCCTGATGTTCTAATTTAAAGATACAGAGATCTCCTAGTACCAGCTTGTGCCTATAAAAATATTTCTTATTGCTGCCTTTCACTTAAAAAATATGAAAAATGTTTGTTTGTTTTCTGCAATAGGAATGAAGGATGGTCAGAAAATAACATTCCATGGTGAAGGGGACCAAGAGCCAGGACTAGAGCCAGGGGACATTATTATTGTCTTGGATCAAAAAGACCACTCTGTATTTACAAGGTAAAAAGTCTGAAAGTCCTTTGTGTTAACTCATGAGATGCTTGTCCACATGCTTCCTTGGTTACCACTCACCTTTTATCTACTGGAAATATCAGTAGATAGGATCATGTGGCTAGAGCTCGCCTGTGAGTTTGGGTGGCCAAAGGAGTACTGAGGTGTGCAGGAATCCTGGTACAACTAGTCACAGCCACTTGTGTTCTAATAGCACGAGATACTCTTATGTGAGCTTTGGCAGTAGAAGGGGATGGCAGGCAAACAAAACCAGTTACAGTTATTAAGAGTTTACAAATCTTGAATTTTAAGAACTCTTAAAATAATTGGGATTTTGTTCAATAGATATGAAGATTTGTGATTATTTCCTTGGTCTTTCTAGGATAGCATCCCATCACTTACCTCAAAATTACCATTTCGTGTAGGCAGCTGTTCATTGCCCACTTGGCTTCAGGGTATGGAAAACTTCTAGTGTGTTCACTTTTGCTCGGGGATTTTATTTATGACAAACTACTGAATATAACATGCACCCTTCTGACCAAAGGTGGTTTCCCACACTTCATTTCCTGCCTGAGTGCACTGGGCAGGGTAATCAGTCCTGTCCTTTCTTGCGAAAGCAAAAGTGACTCAAGTAGCATTGACCATGTCTCAAGTACTTCATGTTACTGGACAGTACTGCTTGGTGTTTCAAGCTAATGTTTATGGAATGAGTCTGTCCAGTACATTTTGGTCTGACTAAAAGCAACACTGGTCATCTCGCAGAAGTGTGTTGCACTTCGTGTCTCACTGCTTCTGTTCAGACCAGTAACAAGGGAATCAATGGATTTAGAGAAAGCATTTGTCTCAACACCAGCCACTGACACTGTACTTGTAAATAGGAATGGTGAGTCAAAGGTTCTTGGGAAACGTGCAGCTGGTCTGCCTGACTGTCCTATATGGTGCTCAGCTCTGGAAATCGGTGCTAGAACTCTGTGCTGAAGAACACTGAGCTCACAGGCTAAGAATCAGTTCTGTTCGCTTTGGATAAGCTTACTCAGCTGATTTTTCTTAACTTCCAGTGAAACCAGATACTGAACCAGCTGTGCCAAAGGGACAGTTGGAGCCAGACTGTTTGTGTGGTTACCTGGGACTTGAAGTCACAACTCTGATGGCTTGTTTTTGTCCGGCTTTCTGCCCACTGCCTTCAGTTCTAGTGTCCTTAGATAAGCCTTTATGTTACTGGTCCTGTGGGATTATGCTGAGGTCATGCTGCTCTGGGACAAGTGGAATGTTCCCCCTCTCCTGCAGTCTAAAATTAACTTTTCAGGCAAGTCTCCTCTCGGAGACCTTTAAAACAGGGTGAGTGAAATAACTAATTTCTTTGAAGAGGCTGGAGGATTTTGTAGCCCTTGAACATGCAGTACATGCAGACATCACTAACACTGCCGTACTGAAGTCAGAATAGGCAATTAAAACAATTACATTATCTCTTCCAGGTAGTTCTTAGTGCTTTCTAGAAGGTGCTTTCATCATAACCCAGAGTGGCCATCACCTGTTCAAACTTCCCTAATACCAGATCTTCAGAAAGCAAGTGTAACAATAATGTGAAGCTAGCTGATGCACTTGGAAGTATTAATCTACATAAAGGAAGGGATTAATTGTCCCAGTTGCAATGTTTAGGAGGCTGAGAGAGAACTTTCTTCCTAGAATTGGGAAGGTGCTGTGAAGTGAAACTGGATGCAAGTGTGCCTTGTTGTTATTTATTTCTTTTCAATAAACACTTCTACACTTTGGATAGCTAGACTTGATCAGTAATGGCTCTCAGTGTAGGCATCATTCCTGTAATTGCTGGCTTGAGGTGCTGCATCAATATTCAGTACTCTTTATTTAATTGCCCAGGCTTCTGTTGTCTTTGCCAAGTTAAATACTGAAGTTGGGTATGATCCTTTTACTGTTTCTCCCTCTCTGTGACTGTTTTTGATTGCTTCTGCCTTAGACGAGATGAAGACCTTCTTATGTCTATGGATATTCAACTGGTTGAAGCGCTATGTGGCTTTCAAAAGCCTATCACAACGCTGGATAATAGAACTATTATTATTACCTCCCATCCTGGTAAGTGTTGGTTTGCTTTCTGCTAGAAGTCCAAACATACAGTGAATGTAAGCTGGAAATTTAAAGGAACAGAAACATCTCATCTTGATGTACAAGAGATGTGTGCTGGTATCAAGCTTTTCTTCCCAGTCTCTGCAGTACAAATCTTTAAACAAAAAAGGATTTTTGGATAGCAGTCAGCAGTAACTTTCTCTTTGCGTGATATAATAACACACCTTACCTCATGGACACACTTGCATCCTGAGGATGCTTTATGAGAATTGAAGGCTGTAGATCTCTGAAAACCACATTTTCAGCTTTGGAAAGGAGCACTTAATAAATTTGTAAGTATGCTTCCTTTGGGAAGCATAACAAGGTTACAAGAATGTAATGTAGATGCCAGCCTGCTTTCCTACTCAGAAGTTACCAGGCAGCAAGTCCCTCTTAGACTACTAAATATTGGTGTAGCTGTCTAACCACAATATAGGTTACGTGAACATTGAAGGGAGTTAAAACTAAAGCTGCTCCTGTTGCCTGGATGGTTCCCTTCCTTTTTTGGGGTGTTTTTTTGCGGGTTTTTTTTGTGTTTGTTTGTTTTTTAGGCCAGGTTGTCAAGCATGGGGCTGTTAAGTGCGTGTTGAATGAAGGTATGCCGATTTATCGCAGACCATATGAAAAAGGACGGCTGATTGTAGAATTCAGGGTAAGTGGATCAACTTCCATGGTGCAGTTCAGCACTGAATATTCATCCAAAATTTAACCTCTAAGCATTACCTAATCAAGAAGAGATACCAACTGTCAGATGTCCTGGTTTGGTATTTGTTTTTGACAATGGTAAGAACATGTAATCCATCAAACAGAATTACAGTTCAGAACACAGAGAAAGCTTTGGAACACTCTGAGCCAAAAGTACTTCAAGTACCAGAAGAATTTTTTCAGATACCTTGTGAATTTCCGTTTGGTTGGCACATTCTTTAGTTTCTGTCATCCTGTAGGGAGGATGAATTAGTAAATTCCCTGTGCTGGAGCAAAAAAGTAGGCTAGAAAATGCTGATTTCTTCTCTAGAGAGAAACTAATGGTGGGAGCTATGGCAAAGAGGCTCTGTCTGCTATGGGTTTAGAGGAGATTCAACTATATGTCTAATGTTGATATATCCTGTACTTTGCTTCTGGGGTGATTCCAGAGGGCAGCCAGAGGCAGAAGAAATGTTGGATAAGATTTGGTTAAGTTGCCAGTTAGAAGCTAACTTCTTGCAGGCATTAAACCTAGTGCTTAAAATAAATAAATAAATAAAATCTAAGTCACAAGGCTATTTTTTAAGTCATCTGTGATGATAAAGCTGACTTTGGCAGGTATTTGACCTGTAGTGGGATGGAGAAAGACCAGTTCAGGCAGACTTGAGTAACCCCAGTTCTTGATGATTTCAGGTGAACTTTCCAGAGAGTGGCTTCCTCTCTTCAGACAAGCTGTCTTTACTTGAAAAACTGCTACCTACAAGGCAGGAAATAGAAGAAACTGAGGAAATGGAACAAGTGGATTTAGTGGACTTTGATCCATCTCAAAAAAGAAAACACCACTATAATGGAGAAGTTTATGAAGATGATGAGCATCACCCTAGAGGTGGTGTTCAGTGTCAGACATCATAAATGGGCCAGTGAATAACTTGTGATGCTTGTTTTGTATGCATTAGTGGATGAGTGAAGGACTGCAAGCAGTTCACCCTCACTTCCCACTATTTGTTGTTCTATCCAGCCATAGTTGTTTCTAAAAGCATAAAGAAATAAACTAATTAAACTGACTTTGCAATTTGTGTAAAGCTCCAGGATGCAAGCTCAAATGAAGTTGATGGCACTTCACCCCTGCCTCTTGGTCAAGAAATCTCCCTTACCTGCTTGTCTTTTACCCCAAGCCTTGTAATTCCTGTATGTGTGCAGTTGCCCAGGCTTAAAATAAGATTCTGTGGTGGTCTTTTTAGGAATTCTAGATCTTATACTCTGTTAATAAAGTATGCACAAGTACTTATAATTCATGCTAAGATATAGTTAAGTTTTGTACCACTTAGGATAACATGTTAATGTTTTGGGCTTGTACTGGTGTTTGTTAAATAAATACAGACTGGCTCTAATGCAGCCACATAATAGGTGAAGCTGACAAGGATATGGTTAATCTTCACAGGCTTATTAAAGTTATGTGATCCATAAGCTCTCTGAAGCTACTGTGCTTAAGGTCAAGTAGTCCCTTTCATTGTCAGCTTTGTTCCTGACCCTGGAGCTAAATGTGAAGCTTGCTGTGGTTCATTGCTGAGTACTGTTTGGCTGTTGTCCTGCACCGTACTGCATATAGAGCCACTGGTTGCTTGGCTGCTGCAGGAGCTTCCTTTGCTACCACGCACGAGTAAAAACCTCCAGGCTTTATCAGCACGCATGCGGTTTGGAATCTGTCAGCCTGCTGGTATGTGAAGCTTGACTTCCACCTTGGTTACTGAAATTGGATACCCCTCAGTGGTGTGTCATGGAAAGTAGTACCAGCCCTGTTGGTGGGCGTATGTGAACCTGCAGAGGAGAGAAACTTATTGTCAGTGAATACAACCAACTGATGCATCTAGGATGTTCTGAAAATTAATGTATTGTGTGCATTATTTTAAGCTGACTCTTGAAAATGCTGTATGAATGTTCTAATTATTGTAGATGAAGCATTTCCAATATAATTACAAAATTGTTCATTGCCTCTTTTCTTAGACCAGATGTTGGTTTAAAGACACCACCCCCTTCTTTTTAGACAGCTATTCACAGAAAAATCTTAGCAAAAAAACTTCTTTCAGAAAATATGCTGAGAAGACAGGTCCAGATTTAACCTCTAGTGCAGTAGTTTAGTCTTGTTCTACCATCTGGCTTGGGACAGAGCTTACGCTTTTGTTACTGCTTTGACGCTAAAGTGTCATGACGAGAACTTGGTTTTTCTTCCTGGAAATAGCTGCTACATGACAGTGTGCGTGTTGTAACTTGAGTATCTGGAAACTGTTAGTCTTAGAAAACTTCTCTAGCTCTTGTAAAATGTTAGGGGTTTCATTTTATAAAGACAGCTGGTAGCATGGATTTTGTACCTCACATGTAGTAGTTCTCCTTGAGGTACTTGCAGAATTGCAATCCCCTGCATGTTTCACCTACTTTTTTTTTTCTTTCTTTCTTTGTCTCAGCTGGAATAAAATCCTGTAGGCAAAATTTTACTTGAATGAGCCCATCAGTGAGCTGTACAAATGTGACCAGCAGGAGCCTTTGCTCTATCAGTAGGACAGTTTGGCTGCGTCAGGAGGAGGAACAGAAAGTACTCCTACCTCTGGTGAGGGCTGAGACTCCTGCACAACTGTCCTGAGGCTAAACAGCACTAAAACATGCTACTTGTTCTCAGTTCAGTAAGCACCCTTGTTCCTTGTTTTGCTTAACCACATGGATCAAAACAGCTAAGGCAAACCAAGCTCAGTGCAGTGCCTTCAGATGACAACAGGACATTATTTTGCTTCAGATGGCTGTGTATTATATACGAAATTATTCCATAGCCTTTTTTCCCAGGGACATTTCAGTTTTCCTTTCCCCATACCCATAGCTGCATCAACACAGTTGGGGTAATGTTTCTATTCCTGACTTACTCTCAAGACCATGGTGGCCAATTCTGCTTCATGCTTGATGACACCACAGCTAATCTAGAGGATGGGCTAGGTCTAGCTCCCAGGAGGGCGGCTGGCCTTGGCAGAGAGTGTGGTGGTGCATTCCCCCTCCATCTCAGAAACTCCCATTGGGACTTAGCCTTTGTGTAATGAGTTGGGCGGTTAAGTGTCCCCTGACCGTAACAGGAACTCTTGTGTGGCTATGGCAGGGAGCAGTACTGACCATACAAAGGACTCCTGTTGCCTAGCAGAGGCAGAGATGCAGAACCAGGAATGTTAGTCATCTCCTGACAGCCTTGGAGTCCTCCCTTATCTGAATCGTAGCTCATGTGAAACAGTACCAGTGCTACTGGAATTCCAGTAATTTGCTGATGACTAAAGCTAGTTATCTCACAAACCTATGAACGGTGGTCCTAAGCAAGGCCCTTTGAGCTCTCCCAGACTGCAGCGGGCTGTGACCAGCATCTCCCTCTGAGGGGAATGTCTCTCGGAGCTTGTGAACTCTCCAGTTTGTGAAAATTGGAGGACAGTTGCCAAGAACTGACAACGGGACCTGGGCTGAAACCCTTCGCTCCTTGAGACTCAACCCTTTGCCCATTGAGAAAAATGCCAAGACATTTGACATGAATATTTTCACTGAACTCAAGGGGAATTTTTAAGCTATACCTACTTTAGCTTTGCTTTTATCTCTCTCTCTCAGTGTCTGTGTGCATGCGTGTATGAATTAACCTGTGTATCCTATAGCAAGTGTAGTATAAGTATTGCCTTTTCTAAATCCTGATTCACCTCAAACTGTGAATGAACCTCAGACTGCTGTTACATACATAATTCCTTTAGACATAAACCATTCCCCAAATCTGGGACTAGGAGTGAATCCAGCTGCACCTAAGCACCAACAGGAGTTTAGAAAGCAAGGGGGTCTTCTCTGAACCTCGTAACTCAACAGGAGGGTATTCCCTACCTTTTTACATCCCCGATTTCTGTGCAAATCATGAAAAAACAATTTTAACTCCATATTCGTTTTTATGTTTCTCTTTTACCCTGTTGCTTCTTTGGTCTCTGTATAAATAATTCTAGTTTGATTCCAGCTTGATTTTCTTTGTACATTTCATCCATGTATTAAGTAATAAAGTGAACCTTGCCATCACGTTCTGTGAAGTCACCTTTTTTTATAAATTCCTATTAAATCATTTTTGCTAATACCCTTGACGGTGATTCTTTAAGCAGTCCAAACCACTCCATTCGCCACAGAGCAGCTTGGGGAAAGATCCTACTACTAATGCAGGAAGGGCAGCAGAAACACCGCCAGTTTAGCATTCTGCTTTGTAATAAGCTAGTGACTGACATAAAAGCTATGTCCCAAAGAAATACACTGGCAGCAGTACAGTAAGCCTTCAGCAAAAAGTACTAGCAAATGAAGGCAAGAGCTAGCAAGAAGGAGGACCCAGCCCTTAGACCTTCAAGCAGGATATTGAGTACAATGTATGGCCTCTTCCAAGCTTTAGTTCTTCACTGATACTCTGGGTATCATACAGATACAGCAAGCAGCAAAACATGTTCTGTGCCACTGAAAAATGAAATAAGATAATTTTTTTCTCACTTCTTGATGCTCTGTGTGGGATACAGTTTCCCATTTCAGAGAATGAACTGAATAGACAGCTGTAGAAATTGAGGATACAGTAGCACAAAATAGCTGCTTCCGTAACTACCAGCATAGTAATCCAACCTATCATAACCTGAGTTGATGTTTGCAATTACTTGAAGTGTTTCAGTTTTAACAACACCAGATTCACATCATCAAGCTTATAGTCTAGTCTAATACAGTGATTCTTTCTACTGTACGCCAAGCATGTAGGACTTGTTTTTTTCCCCAGAAATCTAGCAGTTCCACTATTCCTCAGGTTTGCTGTGAAACTGATAACGCCCACTGCAGACTCCTTTAAGAGCCTGCTCTCATTTTTGCTTCTGCCTCTAGACTTCAGGGCCCTAACTGTCCTCTCCTCCCTGTGCTTTGTCTACCTGCTACCAGCAGCAGTGCAAGAAGTTTGCTCAGCCCAGGAGAGTAAATGCAAAGATCCCAAATCTGCTTTGAAATTGCAGTGTGATGCAAAGTCAAGCAAGCAAGCAACTTGCCCTATAAATTTTTCATTAGCCGCTTCATCTGGGAAGACTTATTCCTGCCTCCATTTGTGATCAACTGGTGCTCCAAGCATTAGTAAAAGGCACACTGAGAGAAGCAAGGTATCATTTAAGCCATCTTTTTCCAAAACCACAGAAAAAGAAATGCCAGGCTCCGTGTTTTCTGAGTAGGTCAGATGAGCACTATTATTGTGGCCAAAGAATGGGGGACTTCAATCACCCTGATATCTACTGGCAGGACAACACAGGAGGACATAATCAATCCAGGAGGTTCCTGGAGTGCATCAATGACAACTTCCTGACCCAAGTGATAGAGGAGACAGAGGAGAGGTGGTCTGCTGGACCTCATACTCACCAGCAAGGGGCTTGTTGGGTCAAAGGCAGCCCTGGCTGCAGTGACCATGAGATGGTGGAGTTCAGGAGGGTGAAAAGCAAGCTCTCAACCCTGGACTTCAGGGGAGCAGACTTCAGTCTCTTCAGAGGTCTGCTTGGAAGCATCCCATGGGATAAGGCCCAGGAGTGAAGATGGGCCTAAGAAAGCTGGTTAATATTCAAGGCTCACCTCCTCCAGGCTCCATCCCAGAGAACAGGAAGTCAGGCAAAAATGCCAGGAGGTCTGTGTGGATGAACAAGGAACTCCTGGCCAAACCCAAACACAGGAAGGAAGCATCCAAAGAGTGTGTCATGGTTTAACCCCCAGCCAGCAACTAAGCATCACGCAGCTGCTCTCTCACTCCTCCCCACCCAGTGGGAGGGGGAGAGAATTGGCAGGAAAAAAAAAAAAAAACTCATGGGTTGAGACAAGAACAGTTTAATAGAACAGAAAGGAAGAAACTAATAACAATAATAATAACAATAATAAAATGACAATAATAATAAAAGGATTGGAATATACAAAACAAGTCATGCACTATGCAATTGCTCACCACTTGCTGACCAATGCCCAGTTAGTTCCTGAGCCACAACCCACCCCTGGCCAGCTTCCCCCAGGTTAT